ATTAATTATTATATTAATCAATTTTATGAAGATATTCAAGATAATCTATATAAAATCAAAGGCACTTTTTTTAAAACAAAGTTCTTTTTCAAAGTTCTTTTTCAAAGAGCATTTTAAGTAAAGTTTTTCAAAGTAAATGCCATTTATGTATTTTTTTAATTTCCCTAAATAAATGTGTTTACAATGTTTCAAAAGGTATTTAGTGTGCGCAACAGTTTTATGAAAGAACAATATTTTCTCCAACATCCCCATCTGCTGGCTTAGAGAAAAAGTAGATTTTTATCTGTTATTTCTTTAAATATTTTTATAATTTATTTTATAGAATTGAATTATAAAATTATTAAATTATTTTAAAATAAGCTAATAACAATCTGTCAAAGTCATTCATGAAAAGAAACAGGAAAGATTTTGAAGAGGAAATTTAATGTTCAAAAATTTTCATTCTAAAGCCCTATGGTATCCAATATTCATGTTTGTACCCACTTTAGACAGTTTTGTTCTAAAGAAATTTTGGTAATGAGCAGAGTACTACTTTATTAAATTTTTTGAGAATGTAAAAATATTTAGTGTTTTCCTAAAATCTGCTATTTTGTTAACTATATATAATATGTGGTGTGTACATATATAACAAAATCAAATTTATTATTTTCAAAAAATCTGAGTTTCTGTAATACATTGCTTTTTATAAGAACAATTAGAATATCTTTACATCCTCAAAGGTTCTTAGACAAGACCATGGTGCCCAGGCACACTGAAGGCCTCAAGGTTTATAAGACTTTGAGAACTTTTCAAAACAGTACAGAAGGGAAAGATTAGGAAAAAAAAAAATGAAGTTCTAAGAGAAAAGCATTCATTTATTCTCTGACAACCAGAAGGCATTCAATAAACACTGAAAGAATGAAAAGAGTAGGGAAGGAAGGAAGGAAGGAATGAGAGGGAGGGAAAGAAGGGAGAAAGGCAGGGAGATAGGAAGGAAGGAAGGAAGGAAGGAAGGAAGGAAGGAAGGACGGAAGGAAGGAAGGAAAGAGGGAAGAAAGGGAGGGAGGAGGAGGGAGGGAGCGAAGGAAAGAAAGAAGGAAGAGAGGGAGGAGAGAAGGAAAGAAGGGAGGTGGGAAGAAAGGGAGGGAGGAGGAAGGGAGGGAGGGAGGAAGTGGAAAGCAGGGAAGAAGGAAAGAAAGAAGGAAGGGAGGGAGGAGAGAAGGAACGAAAGAAGGAAAGAGGGAGGGAGGGTAGGAAGGAAGGGAGGGAATTTGGGGAGGAAGGAGGGAGGGAGAGAAGAATTATTGAAGCCATCACTAGTCTGAATCATTGAACACATCAGATGATAGTTCCCCCCCACCCCGGTTTTATGGTTTGTATTTTCTCATATTAAAGGTTCATGTTTTTAACAGCTTTCAGGAAAAAATAAAAATCTTAGTACTATCTCTAGCTGAGAAGAAAGAGAAGGAGGAAAGGAAAGGAAGAGGGAGGAGGGGGAGAGTCAGAGAGAAAAAAAGAATTAGAAACCCGTCTTTATTTCCTCAGGTACCCATGGAAACAAATGGGAACAGGTACTTTCCTTATCCCACTGTGACTGCAAAAGGGAAGGATGTGGGAGCTGGTGCCCTGCACAGCAGTCATTTTACCCAGTTGACAATATAATGACTTCACTTCATTTGCATAACCTTAACCCATTTGGTGAACAGAGCTAGATCCTTAAATCAATGTCAACCTAGACATTTCCAAATAAGTTCCAAATAAGTTTATTCCAAGAATAAAACTATATTAGTAAACTAATTTCTTTTCTACCTAGCAATTACATTACTACATTATAAAACTCCACTTTCTTAATATATACATTTAACACTATAAGATTTTTAAACTAGGTAAAACAACAAGCTACTTTATGAAAATTAACTGATGATGATACATATTTTAATAATGGAGTTAAAGACCAGAATTCCTTAGATTTCTGGAGAAAATGAGAGGAAGTCATTTTGTTTTTAGCTATCAACACATTTGATGCTTCTGCTTCCACTTCATATAGTAAAGAATCATGGACTTCCCTGACTGAAAAAGCAAGCAAAGGCTAAGCATAGGAGAAAAACCTTGAGCAGGGTTAAAATGATCAAAACTCATCTTGACAATTTTGAGATTAGAGATTTCCATTCATTTCTTGACTATTGACTTCATGGTTGTAGTTTACATGAACATAAAGAGTTAAACTAATTTCAAGTTCTTCTCCTGCCCTTGGCAAAACAAAAAGAAATGAAGAAGACTATGAACACTCCAGTTCATTTTATAAGCTCTAGATTGTGAAATTCCTAAGGGAATGAAGAAACTGAGTCACAAATGTTAAGTAATTTACTCAGTTAATGACTCAATGTCAACTCCAGAAAATTCTATACAATGTGTCTCCTTTGTACAACAATGTCTCATTAGTTCTCTTTAGCAATCAGTAAGATTACTTATAACATGGGAGTGGCACATGTCAAACTTAAAAAGGCTTTCAGTTGCTCACCACAATTTGTTTTAGTGTCTTAGGATAGTAACCCATGGAAGAGTAATTTTGGGATCTGTAGACATGCATTTTTATTTCAGATTCGTTTTCTGAGAAAAACAAAAAAATCCGTACAAAATGAAGATTTCATTTTCCCCAACTCTCAGAAGTGCTGTCAAACAAATTAAATTGTGTGTGTGTGTGTGTGTGTGTGTGTGTTTGATGAAATTCAGGTGCCATGGATGTATTCATTCTGTGGAAATTCAAGGAGTTATGTATGTGCTAATACATATACATTCTCTGTCTGCATAACTTATTTCAATACAATTTATATTAAAAATAAATCTATTCAAAAATATTGAGATGGAAGACCTAAAACCAGTCACCTCATCTAAACCAAAAATAAGCTTTATTCTTTACAAAGCTCCAGCACAGTCATACAACATCTCTCAGAATCAAGGAATATTCATTTTGTTCAGTGGACATATCTGTTATTTTCTCAGTCAGACCCTCTCGCTATTTTCACCAATGAGTGCACTTCTCAAATGTGGACCATTTTTAAAAGTGTACCTGTCGATCACTTTCACAGTGTTTTAGGAATCTACATACTCCTAACAATCAGTCTTGCCTTCATTTCATTAATTTTCAAAGCATTTTCACACTAGTATACAATTACATACAGTTAGATACTTAGCACAGGCATAGGTTAAACTCATAATTCAGGGAAAAACTAGAAATATATCAAATCAAATAAATAACCTAAATCTGGTCGGTTAATAGATCAAGTATAAAAATCCTCAATAATGAAACTACAGGGGCTTCTTTCTATGTATGTATGTACTGAAATTTCTTAATATTCTTCTACGGAAAAAAAAAATTTTTTAAGCTGCAAATCCACTTTAGGTCTCGCTCTCTCAATTTCTCCCTGCACGGTCATAGCTTCAGTTTCTTCTCTCCTTTGGTATCAACATTTGAAGGAAACGTGGCACTGAAGCCTTTCTAAATACGTTCTTTATAAAAATTTGGATTCTAGACATCTAACACAACCATAATAATGCCCCTGTTCTACAAGTAAACGCAAATTATTCCATTTCTTCATCCAAGCGGTGGTAGTTTCAAAATGAGTTGATATTGTTCCTGCTAGCATACTCGAGCTAACCTATCGAATATATGATTAAGGCTCAGTATGGGGAATTGAGATGACAACCAGTTTGCCTAATGTGGGAACACTGCAGTTGGGCTTTTTTTGTGGTAATTTTCCGCTGGCTCCTCTACACTGTAGCCAAAGTGGAAGGTGAGCCATCTGCGACCCACCCCCCGAAACTGTTAACTATTTAATAAACACTGCGAACATTAAGGCAGGAATGAATCTCCCAACCCGGTCGGCAGGAAATGATGGCAGCTGCTGGGAAGAGGGCAGGAAGGTACAGTGGAGGCGGCTGCACTGCCCACGGCCGTCGCAGGGGCGGGAGCGGCGGGACAAGAGACCGCGAGCCTCTCCATTGAACCTTTTAGGACTTAATGGCTTGGATTCTATCTGTTTCTTTGCATGAAGCCTTGACAGAGGTTCATCGCGTGTCCTGGAAGCCTGAGCGGAGCGGTAGGAATAACACGGATAATGCAAACACTAAAATGGCTGATCGGCGACTTCTTCAGATTTCCAAACTCGGCCGGATCCGGCTGCTTTCGGGTCTTTCTCCTCTCACTGCCTTTGCTGGAGCCCTGCTACCTGAGAACCACGCGCACCCGGCCGACGAGCTCACCGCGGCGCCCACCGAAGAATGACCCCCTTCAGCTTAGGCTGAGGCTCCGCGGAACACCGAGAAATTGACAGCGCTCCCCCTCCACCCCTACCGGACCGGGCCGGAGTGGGCCTGCGTCAGCGTCGCTTCTAGCCGCGCCTCGCCGCGCCCCTCGGGTGGGCGTTATGTAACAACCCCGAACCCAACTCCAGAACCATTTTAACTTGTCCCGCCGAAGCGGGTAATATAGGGCTCGAGGGGCCCATACGATGAAACGAGCTGGGCCTGTGGATTCAAATCCGACGTCAAGAGAGGAGTGCAGCTGCCGGGGCAGGCGGTTGGGCTCTGGCAGTCCCCGATGGGATCTACCCAGCAGCCCGACTGTGCGCCCAGAGGAATAAACGTGTTCTCTATGGTCAAGGTACCACCAGCCGCGCAAGCCGGGGGCGTGGAGGGGGGGCGGGCAAAGAGGGCTTCTCTTGAAGCTCTCAGGATAAGCTAGAATCCCCAGAACCTAAGGAAGCCCCCTCCAGCTCCAGTCCCCACCCCACTTCCCTAGTGCGCACACTCTTCAATGCCTCTTGCTCCCTCTTCACCCAACAACCCCCGCCGGCGGGGGTCCCCGAGATTGCAGCCACTTTCTCCTTACGCCGTCACACGCACGCGCGTGTGCAGTCACTCACACCCACACACTGACACACAGAAGCACACACACACCACTCCACACTCGCGGGCGCTCCTCGTGCGGCATCCAAAAGACATGAATATTCATTACTTACAAGCATTAGTGACTGCGAAGCTGTTTGCTACCTCCAAATTGTCGATGTGGGGAGTCAGTCTGAACTCCGAAGTGGAAAACTGAACCATCCCTACCCGAAATGCACTGTATTCCTGATCGGCGCCCCTGGGAAATAGCCCCCCTGCAAAGAACAAACACCAAGCAGAACAGTGTCAGTGCCAGGGAAGGAAAGGAGGGGAGCCCGCTAGCGCCCAACAGCCCGGGAGTCTTTTATTCTGGCTAATAGGCCGAATAAACACATCAAGGGACTCGGGCAGCAGCGGGGAGCTGATCTCCTAATGGTAGCGAGGGGGTCAAGACACAGATGAGAGTCTGAGGGCAAGGTAGGTGGCCAGAAACGTTAGCCTTCCCTGGTAACCACAAGCTTTGCATTCATACCCCCTAGAGGATCTGAACAAACAGGAAAATGTTAAGGCGGAATTAATAAAATTTGGGGATCAGAAATGAGAACACCTTTTCCTCTATTGTATCAAAACCATAGCCTTTTCCCTTTGCTTCATGCTAAGAAAAACATGTATATTCTAGGCAGTTTAAATCTGGAATGCAGTCAAGGTATGACATAAGTCTACATGACATGAATTAATTTGTCCACTGTGAACAAAGATTACCACCAAATTATACACATTCAAAAGCAGAGCACAAAGGGTACCTACCTATCTGTATGCTGTTAGAAGAGACACCAAAAATCAGTCCCCATAAAACAGGAGAAAGGAGGACAGATATATGCATAATCTTTTGCATTTCCAAGAAAAGTAGAGCATCCACAAAATACCCCCCCTTTTTTTTTTTTTTCCTTTTCCTCCTCTTTCTTCCTTGGCGGTTTTCCTCAGCAAATTAGATCCTCTGCATTTTGAGACAGCAATTTAGCACCAAGCTGCTAAAAACCTGAAGTGGAGGCAGAAGAATTCCTATTTCCCAGGTTCTGCTGGTGGCTGTTGATGCCCTGCGCCCTGTCCCTGCTCCCGAAGTCCGGAGGACTGGCTGGATGCAGTTTTCAGCGGAGCTGCCGCTGTGGTTCCAGTGTCTTGGAATATTCAGCACCCTCCCATGCACTCACACACACTCACCCTCTCTCGCGCTCTCTTCTCCCTCTCCCCTCTGTCTCACACATGCGCGCGCCCGCGCGCGCGCGCACACACACACACACACACACACACACACATTCACACACACGCAAGTCACAGAAGAGCAGGCAGTCCCGGGCGCGCGTGCGCGACTCGCGGCAGGCTGCCGGCGCGCGCGTCCAACCCCTCCCCCGCACCCCGCACCCTGCACTGCCCCGGCAGCGTCGCGAGCGCGGCGCTCAAGAAGCGCAGCTCAGAGCCCGGCAGCCGCTACCACTGGGATACACCTCGGGTCTCGCGAGCTGTCGCTCCCACCGAGCGCTCTGCCTTTTCAGCACCGAGGACAGCGCCAACCCCCCACCCGCCCCGCCAGCCTCGTGCTACCTTTGTGCCGCCGCCGCAGCTACCGCTGAGATGCTCCAGCCCGGACCAAACGCAGCAAAGCTGATTTCCGGCTGCTGTGAAGAAGCCGAATTCTTAATTGTTGCCGGTGAAGCATTTTCTCACCAGGCCGTGCTGTTTTACATTCATTTTTTTTCATTTTTTCATTCATTAATTTTTATTTTCATTTTCTCTTGCCTGTGAAAACTCACCTAGCAATGTAGAAAAGTTAACATCCACCTCACCTGACCCAGCCAAAAAGCAAACAAGAAAACAAACTACCCATCGAAGAAACTGTTCCAAAATCGTGAAGTTTTGCTAAATGTGATGTAGACAGCATCCAGGGAAAAAACCCACATTCTTTCTTTAAAGACTAGAGACAAATGGGAGGAGATCTAGATTGAATCTTTGAAATACTTTGCATGGATATCCCATCTTTATAGTGTGTTCTATTGGATGTTAATGCCAGCTTGCAGAGCCAGCCGAACGCAGGTCTCACATACTTCACTGCAGAGTCCCTCTTATAGTAAAGACAGGTAGACTTGACTCTTTAGAAGCCCTTTCTTTACTGAAAGCGAAGACTCCGTTTCAAGGAAAGGCTCATAGGAGAAAGAAAAAGATGAAGTGAGTCTAGAAAGGGCGTTGAGATGCACAGTCTTTCCCAGGGACATAGTGAGAAACTGGAAATCCCACCGGTTTTGACCCTGAGTTTTGATAAATCACTGCTCAAAGGAAGTAAGCTAAGTTTTCATCACTTTAAACCCATGAGTTTAAGATTACTGTGAAAGAAAGATGAGGTTAGGGATTAAAAGTTAGTGGGAAGGGAGTTGATGGGGAGGATCTAAGACCAGACTTCCCCCTACGGAATTTATGCACTTCTCACTGCTTGCCAAGCAGTTGCTTGGAAACCTGCTGTGGCAATTCCTTCTGCTGCCTCAGAAATTCTTAAGTTTTATGGCTTTTTGGGTTTAAACAAAGAAATAAAGAAAGGTTGAGTACAAGGGATTGTTTCCAGAAGGCAGTAGATTGGAGCCCACAATACTAAAAGATTAACTTGCTTATATTTCAGAATGCTAAGTGTTAATCTACCACGATGCCTTCTTGTGCATTATCACACTAATATCATTCCAACAACCTCCTTGTTAACTGTTACCTCACACTTGCCCCTTAATCATTCCTGGGCTTGATTTCTCCATTTTAGAAATGAAAAAGATGGGCAAAGTGGCCTCTATGGCTCTCAAATCCTAGAACTTTGTGATACCAAGTTATGGTCTTCCCCTGCTTTTGATTTTACATATTTATTCCTAAACCAGGAAGTGAAATATCCATAATCTAGTACTGAGCTTAGTAAAATACCTTAGTAAAAATACCTCTCAATTTTATCACCAAGAATTTATTTCAGTCAGTTAATAAGAAATTCACTATATATAAAACAGGTCTTGTGAATTAAATGCATATAGCTTATTAAAAATTAAATAAGGATAAAAATAGTAAAAGAGATATGAATAAAAATGTATCCAAATTTATAATATAAAGAATAGTTAAGTTAATCTTATCTAGTCAATCACTAGTTGTGACGTAAGGCACAAAAAATGATCTGATATTATTCCCTATTTGAAATATATGAGTATATATAAAGTATATATAAATGAATAAATAATTTCTCAGAGCAAAATAAAAAAATTCTTTTCCAGCTATTTTCTTTTTTCTTCCATCCAGTTTTTTCCACAAGAACTCCAGTTTCATACAAAGTAACTTGGAATGAAAGAAGAGAGAAAGGAGCTTAAATGTGGAGAAATGATGTTTAAAGTGTAGATCAATGTAAATTGAATTTTTCTTTAAAAAATGTTTCAAAAACCATTTTCATACTAATCTATTTCAAATTCAAAGGCAAAGATGAACTCAAAATAACTGTATTACATTCTATAAAAGCAAATGATATAAAGTAAGAATTTGCTGAATCATAGATCATTTTCCTTAGCAAATACTATAAGAACTCAGGGTAAATATTACTGTTTAATGACAAGCTATATTTCACATAGAAAATAGAAATAAAAATTTTAGTAGGTGTGACTTGTAATTCAACTGTTATGAATGTATGCACATTTCACAACATACCTGTATACATTTTATGAAATGTTAGTATCATTGTATCATCGTTCATAGAACTCCTTCTAATTTGCTATAATGTTTATACAGCTTATATTTTTAAGCATAGAATACTGTCAATATAAATGTAATCAATTTAAATTGCCTGAAGTAAGTAGTTATGAAAATTAATGAAAACTACTAGAATTTATTTTGAATACTTAGAAACTTCTCACTTCAAGAATATATCTCTAATTGATCAGTAATAAATCAATTTTGAAAATTTCAAAACTATTAGATCTATAGGTGAATAGAGTAGCCTTCCCTAAAGAAACAGAATTTGCTATTTTCTGCCCTCTGCTGTTCAATTTTGGTAATTATCCATAAGTATTGTTTTCTAAAGCAAGGTAAATTACATTAAAACATGGAAGAAATAAAAATACTACCCACTCTGTCATTTGTTTGTTTGCTTGGTTGGTTGTTACTGCTGTTCCTTTATGCATGTGTTTAAATATAACTTTTAGCATTAAGACTTTCTCAAACAAATATTATATGTAAAAATTCAATTTCTGTTTCACTTAATCTTTGTCTCAACATGCGAAACAATAATTTCCCTTTTAAATCTGCTTTAAAATGCTTAAGGATATTATATATCCTATGCAATCTGCACAGTTTTAATTTTTATTCCATAATAAAAAGCTTTGCATAAAGGAAAATCATTGTGTGTGAGGAAGGGTGTGATAATATTTAAACAACTGATAGAGCAAAATTTAGCTGATTTCATTATCAGAAGTGGATTATAGATCAGTGCCATACTTCCTAGTGACAAAGTCTCACCAACGTGGAGATCATCGCCTTTCTTCCTGTTGATCTTCTGGAACTGTGAAAATCTAGGCCATCTGAAAAGCTTGGATGCAATGCAACAATAGAAAGGAGAAAGGGTCCATGCTTTTTCAGCAGAAGATACAAAGACTGCACTTTCTCCGGAAGGAACCCTGGTTCCAGACACGAGACCCCATTGGCTGAGAACAAGCAAACATTAATAGACTATAAATAGAAGTTTCAATTCTTTAATTAAAATAAAGAATGACATTAATGTTAATAGTTTTTCCAGATTGAGACAACATTCTTTTCTTTTAAGCAGCAAAATTTTAAATCACGGTTTCAATAAGATCAACTACATGATCCAGAATATATGTCTAAAGTTAGTAAGTTAGGCTTTTGTCCCTTTTTTAAAAATGAATTTAGAATGTCTAAAAATGAAAATAAGTAGTTTTCCTTTTAGGTTGTTTGTGAGCTTTGATTATATGGATTTTAATGAATTTTAATGAATTTTACCCTAATAGATAACAATCCTGTACCAGGAATATTTATTGAAAACAGTGTTTCAATTCATTCATTAACTCAATAAAGTCTGAGAAACTGCTATATTCCAAACACTGTGGTTGACACTGGATAAAAAGATGACCCAACAGAAACTTTTCTCAAGAAATTCCCAGACTTCATTCAAGTAAGCAAATGATGAAGACAATGGGAGAAGGGCAGTAAGAAATGAAACAAGTAGGCATATGGTTAAGATAATATGGTGAGGCAAAGAGGAATCTATAATTCACAGTTTATGTTGGAGCTCGGGAAGAGGGAGTCACCAAATGCTAACACATGAACTGAGTGAAGTAGAAGTTATAGATAGTTGTGCAGTGGGGATGTAGTAAGGGGAATACCTTTTTTTTTATTTTAATTTTCAAGTTTTTTGAGTTATAATTAACAAATAAAATTAAGATATTTAGCATGCACAGTGTGGTTACTTGATATATGTTTTCATTTCATTGTTAAAGGATTACTCCAACTAGTTAATTAACATATCTATCACTTCACATATTTATCCTTTTTTTCTTGTGAGAACATTTAAGTTCCACTCTCTTAACATATTTCAATTATACACTACAGTGTTATCAACTACAAGCATCATCTTATACATTAATCCTCAGACCTTGTTTATCTTAAAATTGAATATTTGTATCCCTTTACCAACCTCTCCCTATATTCCCCACCCTCCAGCCCCAGGCAACTACTTTTCTACTCTGTTTCTATGACTATGAGTTTGACTTTTTTTTTTTTAAGATTCCACATATCAGTGATACCATACAGTATTTGTTTTTCTCTGTTTAGCTTATTCCAATTAACACAATGCCCTCCAGATTCATTCATATCAAGGTTGAATAATATTATGTCATCATATATATCATACATAGGATATATATCTCATACATAGCACTTTTTTTTTTAATCCATTCATGCAATGACAGACACTTGGATTTCTTCCATACCTTGGCTAGTATGAATAATGCTGCAATGAACATGGAAGTACTGGTGTCTCTTCAAGATAATGGTTTCATTTCTTCTGCATACACACCCAAAGGTGGGATTGCCAGATCATATGGTAGCTCTATTTTTAATTTCTTGAGAAATTTTCATACTGTTTTCTGTAATAGTTGTATCAGTTTACATTCCCACCAACAGTATACAATGGTTCCCTTTTCTTCACTTCCTTGCCAACATTTGTTATCTCTTATCTTTTTAATA